TGGCTAAACCCCTAATTCAAAATTGTTATGTTGATATTAATATTCCAATACAATAAGAAAGCCAAGTTTAGTTTACATCATATACAACGAATGTTCCCGCATATAGTGCGGGTGAGAATCTAGTTTATCCATAAATGTTAAATTTCAATTCAGTCTCAAAATTTTAATCAATTGTTGTTACGATTGGTTGGTTTTTTTATTTCGAAGAAATGTATATATTTATATGATATTATTGCTGATGTTGGAGCGTTGTGGCACCAACAAATGGTCCATGATTTCAAAGATGTTTTAAGGAAGACAAGAAAAACAATGTAGAGAGAGGTAGCAGAACCATCTTTGTTTGTGACATCAAGGTGGTCTTTACGGTCTTTCATTCTTTTTATTTTTATAAATATATATTTTTAGAAGAATTTTTTAGAATAACACACCTTGAAGTTTTAGAAGAATTCTTTTGAATGACACTTTTTGAAGTTTTGTTAAGATTCAAATTTCCCACGTCATTTTTTCTAAACCAAATCATTTTTTTTTAAATCATGTTATAATTGTTTTGATGAGGGTGAACGACGAAATGACAATTGTTTTGGTCAAAATTGATGACATTAATTATTAAATAGTATTAGAACTCTAATAGAAATATGAGACACAAGATGCAGTAATGCACAAGGAAATTAAAGATTATTGTAGAAGGAAATTTCACTGATCTTATCCACAAGCCTATCTTATGCATGGCTCTGTCCACAAATGTGTCTATCACAGATTTCAAGTGGAGCATCCTTTCCTTCAAGAGATTAACTCTTTCTCTCCGTGAATGATATTTACATAGATATATTTTACAGTCTTTATATAGGAAATGTACTTTAAATTATACGAAAAGAAGAAAATTGAGTTGAATTTTCTTCTTAAACAACTGACAAATAAATAAAGATCCATCTGTCTTTGTTATCTAATAGTAGTAAATATATCTCTTGATTAAAACAAAAAAAGTAGTAAATATATCTATATTGTATGATATATTCCAATGATAATTACAAATAATTTTTTGTTGTTGTTGATAAACTTTTCACAAATATTAATAGTTATGTATATGTATAAAGTATCTCATAACCTCCGCATAAGCAAAGAATAAAAATCAAATGGTGACTATTTCTTGAAATTGTATCATAAATTTACATAAAAAACCGTATATGACAAAAGATATGTTTAATTATTCTTAGGGAGATTAGCTAGAATAACCTACTTTTTTAAAAAAATAGCTAGAATAACTTTATTATTTTTTTTATTGCTGAAATAACCTATTCTAGATTTTTTTTCATAATACAAAAATTGTCCTTCGCAGATTCTGCCGAGGTATTAGCAGATTCTGCCGAAACATTGACAGACTCTACAGATGTATTGGCAGACTCTGCCAATATCTAAAAATACGCACTCTGCCAAAATATTGGCAGACTCCGCCGAAATATTGGCAAACTCCACCGAGGTATTGGCAGACCCTGCGGAAACATTGGCAGACTCTGCGGAAACATTGGTAGACTCTACCAATATCTAGAAATACGCAGAGTCTGCCAAAGACAATTTTGGTATTATGAAAGAAAAAAAATCCAGAATAAGTTATTTCATCAATAAAAAAAAAATGATAAAGTTATTCTAGCTATTTTTTTTTTTAAATAGATTATTTTAGGTAAATTTTTCTTATTCTAATTATGAAATCTAACTTTCTGGATATCTTAATATTAAGCATATTGTAGGTTACGACGTTTTCCGGTTCTAATAACCTTTTTGTTTTTAAGTTGTTTGTATGTCTTCTAAATTATAAGGGTCCTAATAAAAACCGAAAACCTAATAACCATTCGAAAATAATCAAGAAGAAGGAGAGGTATAGAGATTACATATTCATAAATCAGACATTTGACAATCCGATAGAAAATGTCTCAGAAACAGAAATCCAAGAAAAACAAAAAAAGAACAGACAATTGGGAAAGACATGAGTAGAGATTATTATATGAATGCTTTAGAAATGGAATTAAGCACCGGTGAAGCTTGGGGGCTTGTAGGCAATGAAACTGATGCACTGGACTTGACGGTTGTTGTCGAATCCAATGATCCTAATGAAGGCATTAGGGTACTCTTTCTTGCACTCTTGCACTTCCTTCAACACTTGAGCAGAGTCGGTGCATCCGAACAAGGGAAGCTTCCACATTGTCCAGTAACGTCCGTCGTAGTAACCGGGCGTGTTTCCGTGCTCACGGTACACAAATCCGTGCTATATACGCATAAGAAAACCATTGAAACTWAGGATAAAATCTACACAAATTGACCATTGCGGACCGGCTATCTAAACATTTATCTACAAAATCCGTTACTCAATACATACAATTGATTCTCAACTTCGGTTTACAAAACTCCGGTTATTGAGTTCGGTTTTAAACAATGTAAAAGATTAATAAAAGATGATAAGAGAMAAATTTTGTTTCATTTACCTCCAACTCGAATTCAACACATGGAATCCACTTGTTGCGGAGAAGGTAGTCAACTTCCTTACCCAACTCGACGTCGGTAAGGTCAGGAAGGTAAGAGAGAGTCTCAAACTTCTTCTTTCCGATTGGTGGCCAGACCTATAAATCCAATTCAAATATATATTAATTTTACATTTTGTTGGTCCAACCGATCTGTTAAATGTATATTTGATGTGAAAGATCTCCGGATCATCATGAATTCTACCTGCATGCAGTTGACTCTTCCGCCGTTGCTTGCGATGGAAGTAATGTCGGTGTTGGTCTTGCGGGTGACGGGGAAGGCAGCAGACGACTTCAAGCCGGTGAATGGAGCAACCATGGTGGCTTGAGCCGGTGTGGTAACCACGGCGGCGGAGGAGAGCATAGAGGAAGCCATTA